TTTGCCTATTTAAAATATAGATTAAACTTTTAGCTATTTTGTATGAATGCTGTTCGTCTAAAGAATAAAATAAGCTAAAATGTTTTAAGTCTGGCCAAAAGAGGCCAAACTAATTATTAATAATACCACTTAACTTATGTTACACAGAAAACAAGGTAAAATTGCTTCAACTATTAGGTCAGATTTCTGCCAATCAGTAATGCCGATTTTGTTGGTAATTATTACAAAATGTTGAGAATTACTAATTACAAAAATAAAATAAAAATTTATCAGAGGTAACCCGCTAAGAAAAATATACTTGTTTTCTTGATACTATGAATATCACTTATGTTACCTTGTAATTATTTTTGTGGAATGTTTATATCTATTATTTCATGTTAGATTTTTTAGAATTATGTAACAAAAGAATGGCAATAGCATTCAAAGTAATTAACTAAAGTAATTTTCAATAACTGGTGGCTGATACTACTGACAGATTTTTTTTGTTGGTATTAATGGAAGTTTTTAAATTGTTAACAGTTATTTTCCAAAGCACAGGAGAAACTTAAAAAATTACTTTTGTATGATAACTTTATTAATACTTATGAATTATTCAAATAAGAAAATTATAGTTATTCAGTTATTCAAAAATTTTACTTACGCTTCTTATTTTTATGCTTAAATTTTTAAAATGCTGCTAACTATTTACATCCAAATCTTTAAAAAAAAAATTTGACGCTAAAACTGCTCTAACAATTTTAAAAATGTTAAAGTGAATAGAATTAAAATATTTTGTTTCATTAATTTAAGAATGTAAAAAAACGTTTGTTTGCTGTTAGTTGTTTTGTGTTACTTTTTTGGGTCAATAATATCTTTTATTAAAGGTTTTGATTCATTAATAAGCAAAGTTAAATTGACTTTTAATTTCTTGTAAATAACTTCATATAACTCTTCATATAACATAAAATACTTTGTATTAGTGTACTTTTCAGAAAAATAAAATAAATATTTTTAGTAATAAATATTTTGAGAAAAAAAGATATACTTTTGTTTACTGGCTATCTTTTGCTTTATATTGGTTAAAAATCATATTTCAAGTTTATATTGTTACAATGTCAACAGAAAACAAATTTTTACATTATGCAGATGAGTTATATGAAGTTATTTATAAGAAATTAAAAGAAAATTTAACTTTGCTTATTAATGAATCAAAACCTTTAATAAAAGATATTATTGAGTCAACTCTGAAAGAATGCTTACCAAAATCCCTTTACCAAAATAACTGTTCAAAACACAATATAGAAAAAGAATATTTGAAATTTAAAGACCAGCATACTATAAGAAAAGATAATTTCCTTACGTCATTGAAAAACCTAGATGATGAAGTGTCCAATTTTATTATTAATCACGCCTCGAGTGATGAACTTCATGAAAAGTTAATTCATTGATATCAAGAATACAAAGATGAAGATATTGAACGCATAAATAAAAAATGGTCCAAAAAAGTGAGTTCTACTAAAATTGCTTTCGAAAAAAATAAAATGTATTTAAATTCTAAAAAACATACATCAGACTCCATAAATAGTAATAATAATATTGATGTAAGTTCTATTGTATCAAATAACGATGGCATCCACCATGACCAACAAACAAAATCAATACCATCAAAAAACTGGACAAGCCCAAGTACAAAAAAATTTAACCTAAGGTCATCAACCTATCCACCAAACACTTGACATCTTCTCAAATATCTTTTCTCACCAAAGGTCCAAAATTTTGCCCGGCCGCAAATGGTAATTTCTTACATATCGATTCAGATATTAACAATTTTAATAAAAAACTTATACTAAAAGAAAAATTTTATGGTGCTACAAGTAGCGATATTAGTATAATTAAAAATAAATCTAATTATTGTACCAAAACCACTCTGCCAGAATTAAACAAAATTATTTCACAAATTGAACAAACTAAACCTATTAAAGTCCAATATATTGATAACATTACAAAACAAGAAAGAGCAGCGATTAAAGAATTACAAGAAATGAAAGACATAGTCATTAAAAAAGCTGACAAAGATAATACTTTAGTTGTAATGGATTTGACATGTTATACTAAATGCCAAGAAATCATTAAAAAGGTAAAAGAGTCCAACTCTTTATTAATTGCGGTAGTTGTGTAGTGGTAGAGCGCTTTATTATTTATGCGGTAGTGGTGTAGTGGTAGAGCACTTGCTTCATAAACGAGTGGTTCCGAGTTCAATCCCCACCACGTCCCTGGTAGTACCGCGCTCAACTCGTTTCTCCGCACAGCGGCCTTGTTCGTCAAGGTTAGTGTTTCTGAGTTATAGAGTTGAAAGAGGATTATAACCACAAATAAATAGCCTCCTCGTCTGTAGTGGCCTTCTCGGCCTTGAGGGGGTGAACTAAAAAAAAAAAAAAAAAAAAAAAAAAATTGAAATGAAACCACCAAAAGATCTTACAGGTAGACCAATTATTGCCGGAATAAATTCGCCAACATCTCGTTTGAGCCAGTTTTTACATATAATTTTATCACCAATTGTAAAGAAACAAAAATCTTTCATTAAAGATGACTGGGATTTCCTCAGAAAAACTCCAAGAGAATTTGAATCAGAAAGTCGTATAATGACATGCGACATTGTCAACTTTACACAAGCATCCCACATTATCTTGGTTTAGAAGCCCTAAAGTTCTGGATATTTAAATATAAAGAATTGATAGATAAAAGATTTACACCTGAATTCATAATTAAGTCAGCATTTTTATTTTAAATAACAATAATTTTATATTCGATAAACAATTATTTCACCAAACAACTGGTACAGCTATGGGTACAGATTTCGCACCAGATTATGCTTGTCTTACTATTGGGTTTCTAGAAGAGACTAAGCTTTTTCTAGTAATTTTACCTCAGTATTTTTCAAAACGTGAGGTAGATGATATAAAAAAATTTTATTTTAGATATATTGATGATGGTTTTATAATCTGGCCAAAACATTTTGATATCATAAATTTTAAAATTTCTCTTACTGAATTAAATGAATCAATTACTTTTACAACCAATGTTGGCAAAGAGTTTTCTAAAAATGATAACACCTACAGTGTAATTAACTTTTAAGACATTGCAATTACTCTTGAAAACTATGAAAAAATTCAAACAGACATTTATTATAAAGAAACAACACTCATGACTACTTAAACAATAATAGCCATCATCCATTACATCACAAAAAGAATATTCCTTATAATTTAACTAAAAGAATAATTGTTTTTACATCTAATTACAAAATTGAAAAACTTCGTCTAGCTGAACTAAAGTCATGGTTGAAAGATTGTGAATATCCTGATGCAATTATAGATAAAGCATTCCATAATGCAAAACTACAAGGACCAGCATCACAAAAGAAGCCTATGAAATATTTCCTTTAATGACAACATTCTATAGTAATCTCAATTGTGAACCTTTAATATTAGAAACTAACCTTTTACTCAAAGTATCTCAGAATGAAAGAGTCAAAAATGTTTTTTCTAATATTCATCCGGTATTAGCTTTTAAACAACCTCCTAACTTATTAAGAAGACTTACTTCTTCAAAATTTGAAGCAAATAATAAGAAGATTGGCATATTTAAATGCAAAGACATTCGATGTAAAATATGCAAACTCTACCTTCAAGAAGTAAATGAGTTTGAAACTTCTAATGGTACTATCTGGAAAATAAAAAGTCACATCATATGCAACAGCAAAAATGAAATTTATTAGCTGAAATGTTTTTATTAGTTGAAACCCTCCCACCAAAATGTAATTGAACCATTTTTTCAACTTTTTGTTTTCCTTGAGCTTAACAACTAAAGTTTTTTGTTATCATATGAAAAGCATCTGCACAAACAAAAACATGATACTTTTAATTGATACTTCCTGTGTATCATTAGAATTGAATTTATCAAAATAGTTACTCATAGCAACAATATGCAATTAAATTTATTTTGTATACAAAAATCTTGGTACAATACCAAAACACCACTACTAATGATTTTTTGAAAGGCCTCTAGTGCTTAAAGTTTATTTAATTAATTATATAAAAATACTTTGTATTAGTGTATTTTTTGGAAAAACAAAAAAAATATTTTTAGTAATAAATATTTTGAGAAAAAAAGGATTTACTTTTGTTTACTGGCTTGACTATCTTTTGCTTTATATTGGTTAAAAATCATACTTCAAATTTATATATATATATATATATATATATATATATATATATATATATATATATATATATATATATATATATATATATATATATATATATATATATATATATATAGTATATATATATATATATATATATATATATATATATATATATATATATATATATATATATATATATATATATATATACATATACATATATATATTTATGTATATATATATATATATATATATATATATATACATATATATATTTATGTATATATATATATATATGTATATATATATATATATATATATATATATATATATATATATATATATATATATATATATATATATATGTATATATATATATATGTATATATATATTTATATATATATATATATATATATATATATATATATATATATATATATGTATATAAAAAAAATAAATTTAATTGCATATACAAAATAATTTTATATTATATATATAGTATATATAGTATATATATATTATATATATTATATATATACTATATATACTATATATATAATATAAAATTAATTATATATATATATATATATATATATATATATATATATATATATATATATATATATAGTATATATATATATATACATGTGTATATATATACATGTGTATATATATATATATATATATATATATATATATATATATATATATATATATATATATATATATATATATGTATATTTCAAAAATGTTTAGTAATTTAAAAGTTTACAATAAGGTTGTTATGTTACTTTCATACATTTGACAACATACCTGATGTAGAGCAAATGCAAATAAGATGATGGCATAGTAATAATAAGGAAAACCTTCAATGCTGCTATTTGAGAAAGTATTTGTCCAATATATCAACATTGCAAAAACTAACCCCATTACCAAACGATATGGCATAGCTTTTATAAAAAGATCAAGTGGACGAGGCCCTAACAAAAATTAAAAAAAAAATTTTAATTGATAAATTTTTGAAAGTGTTTTTGAATCAAAATATTTATACTAAGGTAAGATGATGTTTTCATTCCTTCATTAAAGTAAGAGATTTCTAAGAATGGTAAAATTATCCATTCACTATTACTACTCATTTGCCCACACTATCCATACACTAAATAAACTATCTATACATTAAATAACTTTTTTTTAATTTTGGTTTAACATAAATGAAAAAAAACTAAAGCTGAAAAAAAAAGTTGGATATTGAATCGACAATTCATACACAAATCAAGTAGATTTGATATCGGACTCTGATGCCGCTTTTATTATCTCATGTAAAAATAAACTTATTTAGGAAATTCAATTTTATACTGTTATTTTAAAAGATCTGAAAATTCTGTATCTCATTTAAAATGATATGGATTATGTAAATAACATAGTAAACCAGTTATATTATATCTTCATCTTTCATTAATTCTCTCAGAGACAATAGTAAGTAATTTTTTCACAGTGTTAGCATTTTTTTCTAAAAGATTTTGTTGTAAAAACAAAATAGTTTTATCAGATTTTATCAAATCATCATCAGGGGTTTTAAGTCTTTGAGCTTTTCCAGAAATTTTTAATATAATTACTATTGGCCAAAATTGCAAATAGGGATATAGATTACAGCCATTAAACAAGCTAATATTTTATCAGCTTTGTTACCTGTTTTTTTTACAGTAGACAGCAATACCTAGCTGTATATATGTTGCATTTCTGAAACAACTTTATTTAGAAAAATTTTATGTTTGTGCTTTTAATGATATAAGAAACTTGAAGTCAATGAATGGAATTTCATTTCAAATAACAATGTTTGCACTTGAACATTGATTTTGCTTTTTTTTCCAATAAAAAATGCCTCCAGACATCAAAACAATTTTTTCCAGACAACATTGTAAATGGCAGTCAGTCTACTGTAATGCTGCATTTTGAATGCATTATTTGATAAAATATTTCTCACTAATACCAGAAAAGTGAAAAAAAAATTTGTTGGCTTTTAAAAAACACTAAATTGTTATTATAACAATAAAGTACAAATAAAAAGAAGTAATAATAGATTAATTGATTAACAATTTGTTTTAATTTATTGATTATTCAAATAATGGACTAATTATTAGTGTTTCTCGTACTTCTCTAAGAGAAAAAAAGTATTATTAGAATAAATGACCCAAGCAATAGTTTGATGCATAGAATTAAAAACTAAATAAACTTCATTCTCATAAAAATCATTTTGAGAGTGTTACAATAGATACAGAATGATTCCAAAAAACTAGAATTTAAACATGAAAAATATAAATGAAGTATTCTCTAATAATAAATCATTAAAACAAATAAAAATATCTTAAAACTAATAGCTAAGTAATAATAACAGTACTCTGAAAATGGAACAGCTTACTTGAGAGCCACAAATATGAAACACTTTTTCAAAAACAAAAAATATTAATTTAGTCAAGTCATAAATTCCCTCACTGACAAAAGTATTCCATACAAAGGACATATCTAGTATTCCATACAATGACAAAAACATGACTTACAGAAGTAGAGAATGGAATAAGGAGTAAGAAAATGGTAACACAGTAAAGGAAAGGCAACCTCAGCTGATGTTAGCAAAATATTGTACATAGGGTTTTCATCAATATTAGTAGTGGAAAAAAATTGGAAAAGAAGTTGTAAAGTAGAGGACTAGGTAAGAGCGTTACTACTCATCATTATATCAACAACATTAAAACAATTATTAGAATTAAACAACTGAGTTTAGTTTTCATTAAAATTTACAGCAATCTGTCATAAAAGAGAGATCGCATTTAAGCCCAGTATAAAGCTACGATGTAATAAAATAGATTTTACAAATTCTCAAATAACGTTTTATTTATAAAAATTGAAATACCTGAAGTAAAACGACTTATTGCAAGCGGAAGAAATATTTCTAAAGGGACCAAAGGAACTGCTAAAATTGAAAGCGTCTCTTTCTTCATACCAGCTTCAATTAATTTTAAACCTGTTACAGAATCTGTTGCTGCAAATCCAATCTAAAAAATTTTGTAAAAACGTTTTAAAAATATGTAAAGCTTATTCACAATTGATAAAGATTTTGTTTAAACTGTCATGTTTTAATTAATATACATTTTATTTAAAAATATATATATATTTTATTTTGAATACCTTAAATAAAAAGTATTTTCACAGTTCTGACTTTTTTTATATGTAAACCTTACTTTTAACTTAATACTGTATTGAAAAATACCTAGGTGTTAGTGTAATCATACACCATGGTGTAATATGGCGTATCTGTGTGATATCATAAAAATTGCTATCATAACTTTTGATGCTATCAGAATGTTTGAGTTCAACTTATTTTACTTTAAATAATTATTTATTTTATAAAAAAGTTTTCCTGAACTCCATCAAGTTAAGTTGGGTAAGGAGATAAAAGTAAATCATATAAGTTGGGTAAGGAGATAAAAGTAAATCATATAAGTTGGGTAAGGAGATAAAAGTAAATCATAAGGAGATAAAAGTAAATCATAAGGAGATAAAAGTAAATCATAAGGAGATAAAAGTAAATCATAAGGAGATAAAAGTAAATCATATACCAATACATGAGAGATTTAGCTCTTGAATTTAAGACAAATAAAATTGAAATATTTAAAACTTAATCATTAAAAATATTTTCAAAAGTCTTAAAAACTCTTATTTTAAACTCTTAAAATTAAAAATTTGAATATCATGCACACGACCTTACCAAATAAAAAATATAGCTTGCCAGTTACATTAACACTTCAATTAATTTACATACATAACCAGTTAAATAAATTTACATCTTGACAGAATAAATTGAACCTTATATTAAAGGGATCCAAAAGTGTCAAGACAAGTTGTGTTTACATTTAAAATAAACTTTAGAAAATAAATTTCTAAAACAAGTTATTTTTTGAGATCATAACAAAAAAATTTTCAGCTTCTTTGTTATTTTGTTATCTTATTTCATTTTTCAAACCTAATACTAGGCTTTCCACTCTGTCGAAAGTTTTTTATTTTTTTAATAAAAATATTTGATTTGTTACTGATTTAATTTATGCACGAGCTTGGATTTTCCCTCTTTTAATTTGCAATTATAACAAAACTTTTTTGCTGCATTTCAGTTTTAAAGCATTTCAATATTTCAAATATTTCAAAATAAAAATTTTTATCTGGCTTTTTTACAATAACTATTTTATTAAGAAAAAAACAGTGTTTTGTTTTCACCAATAAACTTATTTGTATATTTTCTTACTTAATCCCAAAAATATTGTTTTTTATTTTACTGAGACTTGTTTTTAACCACCCGAGCTGCATTCACTTATCTTTGTTAAACTAACAGAGTATTCTTAAAACATTGTATTGCTTAAAAAGAATTCTATTAATTATAGCAAGTTCAAAATTATAACAGATTTAACTCGATGGCCATGCGCTTCTAATATTTTGGGAGATACTTTAAGTTACTGCCTTGTTTCGAGGAGGGAGGGGGGGTAAAAACCAGGCATGTGGAAGGGGGAGAGAATGGATTGTTAAAAAAATTCTTTAAATTATATTTTTAAATAATTTATATCGTAATCAACTTGCTTTTAAACAAGCACTTCTTGGCTTTTGCACTTATTACTCCAAAAAGGGCAAAAAATCCACATAAGATAACTCTAATAAGAATCACTACAACCTTTATAAACCATCAACTAGAGATACCATGAATGATAATAAGGTATGGACTCCTCTCAGTTGACAAACTAATTTCATTAAGAACTGCTCTGTTTGCGGATAAAGTTTATCTTTAATGAAAAAACTAGAGGTAAATAATTCTCTAATAATGAAAACTTATATTTTGATGCCTTCTCTAACCTTAAACTTCTGTTTTTATACATGTAGTAGACATCCATTGATATGAATGCCAACAATACTTAATAATCTTGCAAATACCTAAAATACATCTAGCTATTTAAAAAACATGCAACAGGCAAAAAAATATCCAAAATATTGAACTAAATGTACCAAACTCAAGAATATATCATTTGAAATATAATTATACTTATAATTATAAATAAAAAACAAAACTATTTAAAAAACACATTATGTACACATTAACCTTGATTGTTAAAAGAATTATAACCAATTGTTTAACAGGTGGAAGTTTAAGTATCTTAAACAGCTTTAAATATGTTCCAGTTATACTTTCATTTTTGTTTACTTCTGCTTCTTTTTCATTTATAAATATCCAAACCATTGTTGTCATGATGATAAATGATACACCCCAAAAGAAAAAAAAACCTATAAATATAAAGACATGTAATATAAAATATGATAAAATCTAGTTAATTCACTAGTTAAATCAGTTGTTAAGACAACTAGTCAAATAAATCAAAATATGTTTTTTTAACAAATTCTTTTGCAAAAAAGAAAAGAGTTTAAAAGAAAGAAAATTGTGACAAAATTATGAACAAGTCAGAAAAACATGAAGGTAAGAGAGAATTTAAAAATATTATTACTTGAGGAATGTTGAACATAATTGTGTACAAGTCAGAAAAAAATGAAGGCAAGAGAGAATTTAAAAACATTGATATTTGGGGAATGTTTGACAGAATTGTGTACAAGTCAGAAAAAATTTTAAAAGCATGTTTGAGAAAGAAAAACAAAAAGTTTTTAGCTACGAACAGTTAGAATAAAACAACTTTGCTAAATGTCAACTTAGACAAGATTGTAATTTGGTTAGTGAAACAGGAAATAATGGTTCACTTCAAGTTCTTTAACAAATTTAAAAACGACTTAAGTATCAAAAACTATAAAACACAAAAAAACCATCGTCATCACCAAGTTCTCTAAACCTATCATTCACTAATATTTGTGGTCTTTGAATTAATTTTTTTTCTGTTGAATCTTATCTCTTGCAAAGTTCACCAGAACTACTTGCTCTTTGTGAGACTAATTTGAGTTCAGCTGTCTCATCTTGTGATCTAAGTGTTGATGGTTATCTTCCTCTAATTCATAAAGATTCCAATAGCCACATGCTTGGCCTGGGCATTTACATTCATAAGAATTCACCCAATTGTTGGGAAACTAGATTTGAACCCACAGACTATTCTTTTATATGGTTTCGTTTAGCACAACTTCACTACATTGCCTTGTTGTTCTATACCACTCTCCTTCATTTCAAGACTGCACTCATTTTGATGTTATTTCTGATCAAATTGACAAAGCTCTCTTTTTTAATCCATCAGCCAATATGGTTGTTGTTGGTGACTTTAATGCTTGTCACACTGAATGGCCTGGCTCTAGTGTCAGTGACTCTGCAGGCGTTAAGGCCCACAACCTTTGCCTTTCTTAATCTCTAACTCAATTAGTCAACTTTCCAACTGGTTTTCCAGACAACACAAATCATTTACTTTTTCTACTTGACTTATGTCTTATTTTTGATCCTAGTCAGTGCTAAGTTTCTCCACATTCACGCTTAGGTGCTTCTGATCACGGTTTGATCTCACAAAAACTATAATCTTGTTTTTCTTCATCTTAACTACCTTAAAGCTGACTGAGACTCTTTCCATGATTTTATTTGTGACGGCCCTTGAGTAGAAATCTTTTGTCTTCCTGCTGACAAATGTGCTTTTTACATAACTTTTTGGGTACAGACTTGCATAGAATCTTTAATTCTCTTTCGACGATTAAATCAAGCCCCACTCTTCTCTATGGTTTTCTTCACATTGTGCTGCTGCAATTTCCAATCGAAACCATTACTTTCATATCGATAAGCAAAACAATTCTCCAGAAAACAGATGTCTGTTTACTATTGCTAGAAACCATTGTGAAAAGGTTTTGTTTAACAACAAAGCCGACTATTCTTAGGTAATGAGATCTTGTATTTCATCTCAAAAATTAGGCTCTTGAGACTTCTGGAGAATCTTTAACTAAGGGCAAATCTGTTATTCCACCTCTCTTGTAAGGTTTAGTTTTAGTCACCTCACCAAAAGACAAAACTACTTATTTGCTAAGAACTTTTCATCAATATCATCTCTTGAATTCACTAGTTGCGTTCTACCTGATATTGCCAACAAACAGGTTGATCCATTGCTTGACATTACTCCAGCGTCTGTAGCTAAAGTGATATCCTGCTGAGACACTTCTACAGCTTGTGGTCCAGACAACATATCTGTTGCGGTCTTGCAGAAGTGTTCTCTAGACTGTTGTCTATACTTTTTAAATACACTGTCTAAACTATTGAACAAGTACTTATCAGAGTCTTGTTTTTCAGTATGCTGGAAAGCGGCATCTGTTATCCCTATTTTCAAAAATTCTGGAGTGCAATCTGACTTGTCTAACTACCGTCCCATTAGTCTTCTTCCTATCATAAGCAAGGTTTTTGAGTATTTAATTAACACTTAATCTCTTATCTTGAATCTAATAACTTACTTTCTGATCATCAATATTAATTTCGATCTTTTCGTTCTACAGCCAATTCGCTAACAGATAGGTGTTATCGTACATTAGATAGAGGTGTAAAGATCAAGGCTATCGCTCTTGACATTTATAAAGCTTTTGATAAAGTTTGACATACTGGTCTTCTCCATAAGCTTTCTTCTTACGGTGTATCAGAAAACATCTTTAAGATTATTGAATTCTTCCTTTCTAATCATAGTATAAAAGTTGTCCTCGATGGACAAAACTCTTCAAATGCTGTAACTTTAGAGGTTCTTCAAGGTTCTATCCTTGAAAATCATAGAAATAGATAATAGAAATGGATAATAGAAATAGATGCAACCTTAACAAGATAGAACAGATACTTACAAGTATCATGTGATAACTAAAAGTCTGGACAAAATTAGAAATTGTATAATTTTTTAATGGAATGATAAATTTTAATAATTTAAAAAATTTTTCATGCCATGACGACAAACGGTGTCTACTCTTGTAAATGTTGCGGCAGCTAGCCAATGTACACATTCTATGTTGATTTTCTTAATTGAAAACTCAATCCGCTTTTTAAGTTTACCTAGATTTTCAGCTTGCCAGTTTTTATTATAGACTCCTAAGTTCAGACCAAAAATCTTCAATTAGACGTAATTCTGGCACATTAGCAGGGTTATGCTCTTTCGGTACAAATTCAATATTTTTAGCTTTTAGATAACCTTGCACTTTACGTGAATAATGTGACGAAGCTAGATCAGGCCAAAAGACAATATTGTCATTTTGATGATGTTTTTTAATGAATTTCTCTAATCTAACAAGACATTTTGAAATATACACACCTTCATTGACTGCTTGGCCTGATGAAGCAATCTACTGCTGAGAGATTCCTTTTGATAAGAATGCAATTCAAACAAGTAATTTTGGCTCAAATTTGTCTTTTTTTTTTAACTTTACATCATTTGATGCTGTATTTATGTCAGAAGAATAAAATCCAGAATTTCCTAAAATATTGGTGTTACTCAAATAAAAACACGATTCATCGTAAATAATAACTACTTTTTCCCTAAAAATGGAAACCAATCTACAGTACTTTGAATGAACAGCTGCTTTTTGAGTTAGTGTTCTTTTAGGTGTTTTAGTTTTTTTAAGATAACGAATAGTAGTTTTTTTGTGAATAATTTTGCATATGTATGGTTGTAATACATGGAATTGTTTTGCAAGACCACGCTGTGAAATACCATCCTTTTGATCAATCAATTTTTTAAGATGCTTTATCTCTTTTGCAAACATCTTTTTTGCTTTGCAACCACTTCGAATCGCAAAGATGTGATCGCAATCGCTTTTCACATCTTTGCGATTGGTTTTTTTGTTATTTATTCATTTATTTTCTAATTTAGCATTTTCTTTTGAAAATACTCAAAAGTAATGTTTTTGTTTAAGTTTTTTTATTATTGTTCATAAAGTACATCACGCTAAATTTCTTTTGAATAGACGAATTCTATTAGAATAAAATTTTGAATTCTTCATTCATTCTGCTCTGATCTGCTCTTTCGCACAGAGATTTTCATTCAACATAAAGCATTTCTGAACTTAAATTACTCTCTGCGTGGAAGCCAATAATACTTTAAAAAGTTGTTAAAGCTCGTAAAGTTTAAAAAGGAAAAGACATTAAAGCTAATTTTTTCTTCATTCTTTTTTTTTTAACAAACAGCCTGGTTTTTATCTTTGTTTTTAAAAGGTTGTACTAAATTAACTTAATATTGATAATTTAAATTATATCAACAATTTTATATTATTAATTTTACTACTTTAAGTATATTAAAAAATATATTAAATTTGTTTTTATTAAAAATATTTTCTAATAGTTATTTCTAAAAGAAGCCAGTAACTTTTTTGCTTCAACGTTTTTTGCTTTAGCAACCCTGAACTTTATATTTACTTTAATTTACTGAATGGATAAAGTACATCACAGTAAATGTACTTATAAACTAAATCAAAACAATAAGTTAAGTTACTATAGTAATACTCAAGTATTAACATATCAACTATATTAATTTACTTTATATACATAGACTCGCAAAAGGTAGCCATACAAATGTTTTTATTCATATCTATATCTGTAAAATATTATAAATGTATTTATTTATATGTTGTTAACACATAATATAAGCTTCTAACTAAAAATTATTTTAACAAGAAATGTCTAATAGAATATAAAAACGCGATACCATTTTTTTATATTTAAATTTTATTCAAAGTGATATCAAGATTAAACATTTTCTATAAATATGCACATTGTTTTTAGGAATTTTTTTTAAAAGAAATCTATATGAACAAAAGAATTCTTCTAAAAACAGTCTTTTAAAATTCTCTCATTCAAATATTTTTGCGTTTAAAAATTGTTATTAAAAAAAAGGGCTAAATTTTAAAAAGTTCAATGTGCAATAATTATAAATTTAATTGCAGCAACGTCCGTAATATCCAGTGGCATAGCGAAGGTCATTCCAGAAAGATAAATGTATTTTGCCACAGTAAGAATATTACAACATAGTGATTTAGATTTACAACATAAGGCAAGCAGGAAGAAAATTATATTTAAATTGAAAACATTTTAAGTAGTAATTTTTTTTTTTTGTTTCTTGAAACTAGTTTTTAAAGTAGAAAACATTCTATTGGAAAAATTAAACCAGTGATTATTGCAAACTTTAAACCAAAAATTAATTATTATTATTATTATTATTATTATTATTATTATTATTATTATTATTATTATTTTAATCCATTTATTTAACCATAAATATGAAAATTTACAATAACATATTTACTAACTCACATAAATGAGGTTAGGTGTCACTCAAAAATTAGTAAAT